CTGTGCAGATTTATACATTCTAGAAATTCTTTATGATCATGTGCTCGACCTAATGGAATGATATGGAATGATACAGGAAAATGGGATCGGAAGATGGCAATAAGCTCACATCTCACCCTTGCTCAACCACTGATTCGTCAATAAAGCAAGGGCTAAGGACAGGATTTTCAAGTGGAGGGAGATTGGTTTTATGGAGCTTGATCTTTCTTCCACCTACTCATGTTCTTTATAGTATTGAAATTAAGATGTCCCCACCAGAAGGGTACTCTGTGTGGCTCACATTTAAGGACGTGTGTCATCTATGTTACTAGCAGCATCATTTGTTAACAAGCTCACATTACATTTGAGAGTACAACCATTCTCTATTCTTTTCTCTTCAATACCAACTAGTGTTATTCAGATGAGAGTAACAGAAAAAGAAATATTTTTTCTTTGCCTATTTCCCTCTTTCCTTCCTCTTCCAAAGACTTCTCAACAAGGTAACTTTCTGCAAAAATCTCCCTGTTAATGAATATAGTGTAAAATAATTGACTTTTGCATCTGAGTCTTAAATTCAGCATCACTTAAAAATTTTAAATCAAATTGTTAACCGTTAATATTAACAATAAAACCAAAAATTCATATTTATAGAAGCATGATGATGGATAACTGTATTTTGAGGCACCAAAATATATCACTAGTTTTCTTAGGTAGAATAACTAATGGGCTTTTAATACTCGTAATCTTTGCTCTGAACAATTCCAATATGTGTAAATTTTAGTTGCCATAGCTTAATTAAATAACACAAATTCCTTAAAATTGTGGGTTAAATTTCTATTACCATAGTATGGTAGTTATAAGTATCTAAAGTGCAAATTTGCTGCTGTACTTCTATCTACAGATTACTCTATAAATAATATAACCTGAAAGTGATCAACCACATTTCTCTCCAAGTATGTTGTTTACTGGACAACGCATGTTGTTACCTGGTTCACACCCAGATAAGCAAAGCATGTAGTTTGTCTATTTTCCATCTCTCAGTGATAAACCCATGTGACAGTTTTCTAGAATGCATCATTGAAACATGGAATTTGTCAACAAAGCTAAAAATGAAGCAAAGAAAAAGTGATAATACAGGAAGCAAAATTTATTGCCTGGGAATGCATCAGAAGTAAATGGAGTTATAAAAGAGAGCTAGCAATAGAAATGTTATCTGAGGCCATTTGAGACACTCTAGATATGCAGCCAGAGAAACTTAGTGAGGATGAATAAGCAGAGTGATTTGAACAAAAAATGATATACAAGAGAAAAATTCTATCTGCAAAAACATTAACCTTCAAAAAATTCCTCTAGCTATTTCATGAAACTGAATGTGCAATATAAAGAAAAAATAAAGGAAGAGATTAAATGAGACCAAAACAAACCCTAGAAATCTGCCTGCAGAATTGAGAAGGGAAACTGGGGCTAAGGAGCATAGAGACAGTGGTTCCACCAGCTGTGGTGGGGGATTATGGGTTCTCTGGTGCTGGAGGTAGCATGGTAATTAATACACATTGGGAAAAGTTTCACCCAATATTCCTAAATCATTTGTAGTCTTCTAAACCCATGTTACCGCAATTTAAAAAAATAGTCAAAACAAACAAATAAATGTTAGAAATTGATCTACCTTTACAAAGGGATTTTTGATATATCAAGACAGATGTCTTCATATAAAACACTAACTCTGAATGTTTGTTTTAAATAAGAGTACTAAATATCAGAGTTACTATTTTATCCTTGTCTTATATATAACAGATTCTGACTTAATGTTTTTTTAATATTGAGATCACTTTTCAGTTTTAGCTTGTTTCATCATTTTTATAGTATCTTGCTAATAAATAAAAGTGTAAGGTTACAAAATGAATTTACAAAAATCAGTTGCTATATGCAAACAACAAAGTAGGAGAGAAAGAAATTAAGAAAACAATTGTATTTTCAGTAACATGAAAAATAATTATATACTTTCAGTATATGTAAAAGAAGTAAAACACCTAACAATGGAAATTTTTACAACATTGTTAAAAGAAATATCAATGTTAAAATGTCCAAGTGTCCTGTTAAAATGTCCATCTTCCATCTTAGCGAAAGCAATATACACTTAACGCATTTCTTATCAGAGTTCCTATGGCATCATTCGAAGAAATAGAACCATCACCACAGAAGTTCTTAGTGAGCCACCAAAACTCCAGAGCAATCATGACAAAAAGAAAGCTGGTGGAAACACTTTCCCTAGACATCAATCTATATCATAAAGCAGTAGTAATCAAAATTACTTTTTGGAATCAAATTAGAACACACAGACCAGGGGTACAGACCCAAAATCTGAGAAATAAATTGACGTTTATTTGGATAGTTTATAACAAGGGAAACTACAGTGTGTATTGAAGAAGCCTCCTATAAATGGTGCTGGAAAACTGGACAATTGCGTGCAAAAGAATAAAACTAGACTAGATAAAAACGGGTAAAACACTTCAAAGCACTGACTTCAGTGACATCTTTGTCGATTTGCCTACAATAGCAAAAGAAACAAAAGGGAATAAGAAAATGGGACCACACCAAACTGAAAACTTATATAGACTAAAAGAATCATCATTACAACAAAAAGATACCGTACTGAATGGGAGAACATATTTGCACATCATATATTTGATAGAGAGTTGATATCCTAGTTCTACAAAGAACTCATACAACTCAACTAAGAAAAAACCTAATCAAAAAGTAGGCTAAATAAACTTCAAGTAAGACATACAGGTGGCAAACAAACATGAAAATATGCTCATCATCACTTATAATTAGGGAAATGTAAATCAAAACCACAGTGAGATACCAATTCACACCTGTAAAAATGGACCAGCTAGAAAAGATCAGAAACAGCAAGTGATGTGGAGTAAAGGAGTCATGGCTCTATGGAAAACAGAATGGAAGTTTCTCAAAATATTAAAACTATGTCTACCATATTATCCAGCAGTTTCACTCCGGGGTATCTACCCATTGCAAAGACACTAATTCAAAGGGACATATGCACTCCTGCGTACAAAGCAGCAATATTTAATTTTTCAAGGTGCAGAAAAACTTAAATGTCCTAGGACAGAGGAGTGAAATCAGGAAGGTGTGGAATATACTACATAACAATAAAAAATAAGATGAACTCTTGACATTTGTGGTAACTTGGAGCTGTAGGGGATTATGCCAAAAGAAATAAGCCAGAAGAGAAAGACAAAAACCAGATGGTTTGCTCAGATGTAGAACATAGAGACAACAGTCAAACAACACAAGCCAAAACAAAGCCTAGAAGTCTAACTGTGCAAGTGGGGCTACCAGAGGGAAGGGGACGGGAACAAAGAGTGGGGTGGGCACCATAGATGACCATGGAGGACTATGGGTACCTTGGTGATGGGTATGGCAACGTAAATCTACCTTTACCAACGTAAATCATCCTTTACCTCTCAGTCATACAGTATTGTAAACCTTATTACCTCAAAAAAAATAAAGTCCATTACCTCAAAAAAAAATAAAGTCCATTCCTATTTCCAAAAGTTTAATATATTTGTTAATTTAATATATTAATATTAATTTTGTAGTAATACAGTTGATTTTTTTCACAATGAGATTATAATATAAAGTACACACTAAATATTATGTCAAAATTTTTATATGCTTTATGTCTAATTTAGCCATTCAAGTAAAAATTTTGGGTGGTGATAGGGTGAGCAGGAAATGTTTTCACATAGGCCTTTATTTATTTTTAAACATCTTGTGCCATTTAAAAAGTCATTATCTAATTTTCGGGGTTTACATGTGCCTAAATATCTATATATTCAATATGCTCTAAACATGACTAAATTCTGTAATTATTCATACACACTTTTACGAAAGATTGTATCCCCATACCAAAGAGCAAGGAGTCAGGGTCAACTGAAACCCAAAGACCCAAAATGCAAAACAGTGTTCAAGTGCCACTCACTTCCTAGATCATTCAGTTAGTTTTACTCTTTTAGAAAAAAAATGTTCACGCAAAAACTTTTTTTAATTAAAAAAAAATGACTCCTTACTTTCTTGGGCTTCTCTATTTATTGAAAACAACTTTATGATCGCAAACATTTGTTTAGCAGATTCTAATGAAAACCTTTATAAGCTAAAGCCGTTCATGTAAGCTGCTAAGATATGGATGAAGATGTGACCCAAATGCAGATAACATACACTCTGAGCTCAGAAGCTCACCATCTCTGTCTAGCATTTTCCAGCCCTCTCCCATTCCTACCAGGTTGTTCATGTCATGTCCTGTTCCAGGCTCGAAAGGGCTCAAAGCTGACCTCACTGAATGTCCTTGCAAAGAGTGGTTTGCAATTACATTTTAACCATTAGACACAGTGCCCAGAAGATAGAGTGGAATATTTCCCCCGCCACTCCTGACTCCCTAATGTAGCCTGGCTTCAGCAGTAATTGCTGATTCCTATGATAGAAGATGCTCTAAGATGGTCCTTAGTGAGCTCTCATTAGGTTCTGATTTAGATAATGCCTTTTTCCTAGTCTGTTCAGGCCTGGGGGCAGCAAAGGCTTCCTACTACTGTCATCCCCTAGGTGCTTCAATATCCCTTTTTAGATCCAGTAATTCCATTTACACCTCTGTAAATAGTCCCTTTATTAAATTAGCTTTAAAATCCCTCTTGTTTCCTGCCAAACTGCTTAATAAAAGAACAAGTGTTACGAGAATTTAAATAAAGAGGCTCTTGATCCATTTAGGCCAGGTTCATGAACACATTTAAACCTGATCTTTCAGGGGTCAATAATTGGCACGTTAAAGGATGCATACTCTGTCTACACCTCCCATTCATGCTTGCTTTTGGACTTCTTTTCCACTGCTTGAAGACCCTTTAACAAAATATGGGCATTTTAAATCAGTAAAAGTCCTGGTTGACAAATATTCCACACCAATTCTTGATAATTCTAAATTTGTTCCCTGATTTTTGTTCTCTTTGCAGACCCATCTGAACACATTCTGGGGAAAGCGGGGCTGTCTCTACCTCAAACCATGTGAAAAGAATGGGTTGTCAAGACAAGAGCTAAGCAGAACCTAATCTCCACCCGTCTGACAGCTTCCCCAAACAATTTACTGCCACCACTAGAAACCATTCTTCATGCCCATAATAAAGGTTTGCCAACCATCCAAGAAGAAAATCAATTACCAAACATGCCATGCCATGAGGAACAAATGCAGGGTCTAAATGCCACCGCCTTATGAACAAGTCACATCTAAAGGGGCATTTAGATCAACTATGTTGGGAACATATGGAAATTTTCTACTTTCTGGAAAGTCAGCAGAGATTTGAAAGTTTACAGGGAATTTCCCAAGTGGTCACAGTCAATGGACCCTGCTTGACTTTAGGGAAATATTCCTTTATAAAATTTATGGTAAAAGATTTTGCTGTAGACATTCCCCAATGGCCTAACATTAATCAAATCTCTTTTCTCCATAACCAAGTATGAACAGGATCTCTAAACAAGGAAGGTGTGTAATTGGATTCTCTATTTCATTGTCTAGGACTAGAGCCTTGGAGTAGAATGGTTGCTAGAGTCACAGAGCAACAGTCTAGCAAGTTAAAAATAACCATATTTTATTTTTGGTTAGGGATGTCTTGATTAACATCTATTTGATCATCATGGAGGCTTAAAAAAAAATGTTAACCCTGGAAAAAAGCCCTACTTAATAACAATGGAAAGATTTTTTTAATAAATATTTTTGGTTAAAAGTGTTAAAGAATAAAAAAACTCTTGTTAATGATATCTTTCTGTCAAGAAGACTACTAACTCACTTTTTGTTGTGTATTAAAATTGTAACTATTATGAAAAGTAAATCATGCAAATTTCTGCTACTGGATAAAAATATTTACCAGAATTAGAATTAATATATTTATAAAACCATTATTCATCCAAATTTTCCCAAATGAATTTAAATCTAGAACCATAATACTTAAAGTCTGAGATCTAAAAGAAACTGTTTTTGATAAGGAATATCAATCATTTCTATTTGCAAATTTAAGCATAGTTTGCAATGTATTTATACAAAAAAGTTCCCTTAAATTTCTTAGGTTTGTATTAAAAAAAAAAACAAACAGTAAGCATACATCATGAATTGTAATAGGGCCATGAGATGTATTAGAATGTCCTGCTTTATTTCAGTGGAGAAGCAGGAAAGAAAGCAACTTCTTTATATCACAGAAGAATAACTTAAACAGGGATCAATAATTAGTTTCTTTGTCACATGTAGAGAAAAGAGAATTAAATTAAGCCATTAGAAAATGTCTTCTATTTTCACAGAGGTTAATCATTGGTAATATTATCATTGTATACTTTAAAATCACATGACAGTGTTCTTTAATCCACATTTGTCACTGAATACTACTAAATAAATAGCAGCAGTACTGGCTATAATCATGGTATTTGTTTTAATTGCACTAAGCATGTGAAAATATGTCTTTTCCTCTTTCCTGATGAGAAAGCGTTTTCTACATTTTGTGGAATTAATAGGATCAGTGGGACTAAAAACTGTCCCATTCCTTCCTCTGGAAAAGCATCACTCTCTATATGGATCTATAACTCTATAGCACACATGCAAATGTGTTCTCTGACCTGGTCTAAAATGAACTAGCTATGCAGTTGGGTTAGGAAGAACTTCCTGTGGGTCATTTCATTCCAGGAATAATCCATGTCAATGGATAGCTGAAGAGAGAAAATACTATGTTGATTCAAGTATTGTGTGAAACAAGGTGACCTGCTTCTACTACAGAAAGAAAAATATTCTATAGCTTTGAAAATACTTTTATACTGCTGAAATGAAAAATCTAGAGAAATTAAGCAAATACATGAACAAAACTGCTAGGACAACCAATGTTTCTAACTCCAGACTCTTTAAACCACTGAGACTCGTCTATTTGTCCTTACAGACTACCAGGAGGAGGATCACAGGTGTGAGCCCAGAAGGACAGAAGGATAAGAAACAAAGGGAACGTGGTACTGAGAGAATGATTTAAAATAGTATCCCAGATACAATGTGCAGTGAGGCAATGCAGGAGAATTAAAACATTTGACTTTTAAAATTTCCGATTCTTTGTATGCACTAACGTAGAGTCCCAGTGTGCTCAACTAATGAGTATTTTTGTCCCCTCCAATTGGAAAGCTCATAAAATCCCTCTCATAGTAGCTCTCATTAATATATCTATAAAACATACTGTAGTGGCCCCTGCAATGGGGCTCATTTAACTGACCCTCTTTATGAGATTTATGGTGTAAGAGTCACACCCAATTCCAGCTGATTAAGGAAGTTTTATAGAAGCAGAACTAGAAGAAAATGGAACTATCCGAACTGTGCCTATAAATATGCTGTGCAGCGACAAGCCTTTCAAAAGTGTTTATTAAATGAAAAATGTTTTTTTCACCCTGACTGCTGTATTTCATCGGACACCCCAGAGGCCTCTGTCAATACCCTTTCACATGTATAATTGTCACGAGGGAGGCACTTGAACCAGCAAAGGCACCTTAGCCTCAATCATTCTTCATCCTTAGAACTTTGTGGGAAACCATGAATCAATAATATATTTGCACTAGAAGAATGGGTTTTACTAGTGATAATCACCTTAATCTTTAGCTGCTTACGGCAGCAAAGAGAAAGTAACAAGGTTTACAAGGTCCATGACCCATTCACTGGTGGGCCAACTGTATGGATGATTGATTATGGCCCAATTATTTCTCCTCTTCCAAAACCAGTCAAAATAAGTAGCCCTTACTCTAAAATGACTGTTTGTGAGGCTCTTTTGGTCTTTTCAGAAGTCACATAAAGAGAACTGTACTGTGTTTTATACTGTAAAAATTCGAGGTTTTAAAATTTTCAATTAGTGAAATATTTGAATATAATCAAAATCTGTAGAGAGCTATGAGCTATATTAAATATAGATTAGAGTTTTAGAGCTTCTTAACAATGTCTGCAATATTTATGATGTACCTTTACACTGTTCATTTTTGCCTTCCATAGTTTATGCTACATTTAAATTTTCTGCAAATATTTGCAACTAAAAGTCTGAATTGAACATAAGAAATAGAGTGTGTTTTTACAGTCATATGGTGCCCACATCAAAACAATACTTGATTCACAGACTTTTGTTCCCTGTCCTTTTTGGGCCCCTTGTAACTATTTGTGTGCATACTTTTCTCAATAGAGAGCCATGAGTTACACAACTGCTTTGTCCATATATGACACGAGGGCTGTGATGTATGTCACAGCAGCCCTAACTGGATCAAGAGAATAAGGGAAGCCTATGTTGAATGCGTATGGTTCTATAACTGGACAAGTACTAGCAATTAGTCCATAGTTTAAATGATCAGGATATCTGCTTTGGAAAATTGTAGGAAGTTGCATTTGTTTCTTAGAGCTGCTGTAAAAAAAAAAAAAAATTACCATAACTGTGTGGCTTAAAACTACAGAAAAATAATGCTTCAGAGTAGTGCAGGGTAGGAGCACAAACTCACAAACTATTTGGAACTCGCAGGAAAGAATCCTTCCTGCTTTTGGAGGTTGGTTGTGGTAAATTCATGTTCCTTGACTTATAACAATGACACTTCAGTTTCTCCCTCCATGGCTTGTGCCCTTCTCCTTCATGTCTCTGTGTCTCCTCTCCGTAACAGAACACTGACCACAATAAAAGAAGGCCCACTCTAACCCAGTGTGATCTCAGAACTAATGAAATCTGCAGTGATCCTCTTCTAAAAGTTACCTCTTGGACTGATATTCGGTCCCCTTCTACATTCTAAGATTTTTGGACTCATGTCTTTCTGCAGGGGATATAATGTCACCTTTTACAAGACACCTCTATCAAACTACTGAGTTCAAGGATAAGAAAGCAATTTGCATTAGAGAAAGTTTATATGAACTGTGTAGTATTGTACACAGTAAGATAAAATTGGAACAAAGATAGTGTAGTATTTCACAGACAAAATTGGCATTAAAATATGAGAAGAATATATATATATATATATATATATATATTCATTAATCACTTCATTTTTAAAATTTTTGCTACTGTGAAAGAATCATCCAACAAGTATCTAGAGTCCTTCTTTCCATTTACAACAGACTGAACTGAGTAGTCCTACTCAGGACTGAATGCTTGGCTTTCAATCTTAGTTCCCTCAGTACAAAAAGCATTTAAAGAATTCTGTATTTTTTTATTATTATTATTTCAAGACACCAGAAAACCCTCAATTGCCGAGGAGAATTTCCCTGTCCTCAGGGATGCTCAAGTTTTATAAAAACAGTATCATTGCAGAAATAGCATTCAAATCTGAGCACAAGTTTGCAAAGAAAATTAGAACTAGTCTATTCCTGGGGAGCATTACAGAGAAATCATGTGAAGTCACTAGACCATCAGTTCTGGTCTGAGGCTTTCAGATAAAAACTCAAGGCCTGAAAAGAAATGAAGCAAGCTATGGAACTTTCAGAACTGACTGCACATGGGTAGAAGAGGGCAATGATACACACATAGACAATTTCCTCCAAACAAGCCTTGTTAACCAAAGCACAAAATAACCTTCTAATGCTACACTTGCCAATCACCTGCAGTAGGTTAAATTGGTGTCCAAAATTAAACTCTTTGAAGTTTTAATGAAATTTTGAAATAATTGTTTAATCACTTAAAAATAGTGTGAACAACTTGGGGTATCATGGTCCCTGAAGGAATCTGATGAAAGTCATGGACACTCTTTGTTGAAAGTTGAATTAGTGTGCTGCCTGCTTTATACACATTCTTCCAGGGACTGTTCCTAGAAAGAGCTCTTTTAGAATATTATGAAAAGATATACAAATCTTCAGAGATAGGACCATTTTGGAAGTCACTGAACACAGAACATAACTGCTTTCCCCAGAAAAAAAAATGTTGAAGGCAAAAATAAACAACCCCATCAAGTAATGGGCAGAAGAACTAAGAAGACATCTCCAAAGAGGAAATGCAGATGGCCAATAAGCATATGAAAAAATGTTCAACATCACTTGTAATAAGAGAGATGCAAATTAAAACCACAATGAGATACCACCTCACCCCAGTGTGAATGGCACATCTTCAAACAACTAGCAACAACAAATGTCGAGGATGTGGAGAAAAACTCTCCTGCACTGCTGGTGGGAATGCAAACTAGTAAAAACCACTGTGGAAAATTGTTTGGAGGTTCCTCAAAACTGCTAAATATGGAGCTTCAATACAACCCAGCAATCCTACTCCTAGGTATCTACCCTATAGACAACCCAGCAATCCTACTCCTAGGTATCTACCCTAGAGACACAAAAACACTGTTTCAAAAGATACCTGCACCCCCATGTTTATTGGAAAGACATGGAAACCACCCAAATGCTCAAAAATAGATGACTGGATTAAAAAGATGTGGTACATATACACCATGGAATATTACTCGGCAACCAAAAAAAAAACACATGTCTTTTGTAGCAACATGGATGGATGGAACTGGAAAAGTGAAATAGGTCAGAAAGAAAAGGAAAAATACCGGATGTTTTTTCTCATAGCAGTAATATAATGGAACAGGCAAGAAAATAATGATGATGACAACCAGCTATATACCAGAGACATTTTGTGGGGGTGGAGTGGGGAATGGGATCAAAAATAGTGTGGGGAGCAAAATGCAC